ATTTTTTTATGGCTCCCCTTTCCAAAGGATGTGATCTTTTTTTTTTTTTTTTATTGTGTGTAATTTTTTTGTTGTTTTTTTGGTGGTTTTGGTTGTTTGGTAGAATGGGTGTTCAGTTAGGGTTTTTTTAGTGGTTTTTTTTTTTTGTTTTTTATATGTTTTTAAAGGGGAAAGTTCAATTATGACAAGTGTTGGGTATGGTAGGCTGCGATGATTTCTTTTTTTTTTTATGCTTTGGGTTCTTGGCAATGGTGAGGGAAAAGATATTATTGACATTTGATTGTAGTGTTGTGTGTTGCTAGTGGATGGTGGGTGAAGGTAGTATGGGCTTTATTTTCAACGTCATTTGAAATTGGCCTCCCTTTTCTATTCATTTCAATTGGTGTTTTATGGGCATCTTCTAATTTTAGATTCAATGAAAGATTCAATAAATAAGGTGGATGATTGGGTAAAATGGAGTGGTTGGCAATTGAAATTCAACTACCATGGTGGCCGTAGGGGCGACTTTGTAAGGAAAGGTGGCTAGGTTGGGGCAAAAACCTAAGTGGTGTTGTGTAAGGTAATAGGCTATAGTTTTTTTTAGTTACTTTTTAATTAAGAAAAAATTTAAAATTGGGCTCCTTTCAAGTTAGGCAATGGGCCTTCGAGCTCCAATGACCAACTCTAAGCTTTTAGGCCCAAATGACCCACATAATAGGCTTATATATCAAATACAATCATGATTTAAATGGTTTAAAATGAACTCAGACCCGGCATAACAGTCGCAATTGATTTTAATTAATTTGGATAAAATTAGATGTTTACAAATAAAAAATTTTTATGGGGCAAATCGATTCAAGTCAGGTTCGAATAATTTTTTAAAAGTCCTGTTTAAGGTTTAATTCAATTTGTGGAGATCAAAAAGTTCAAAATTTTAAAAAAATTATTAAAATATTATTAAATTTTAATATTTTAAATATATTTTAAATTAAAATAAAAAATAATAAAAATATTTTAAATTAGGTCAAGTGAGTAACTCGACTGCCGAGAATAACAAAATTAAGAATGTCATATCCACTAAGATCATGAGATTCAAAATTTTTATCAATTAAACACGAAAAAAAAATTCACTTGCACGGGTGAGATGTTTGTCATCATGAATAGGGCTTTCACATGTGCTTTCCATTTAGAAGCCATCAATTATTACATTGTTATCATCATAGTCATATAAAATTTGTGGTGCATATAGCATGAAAAGATATATGCAAAAGCTCCTTGATTATCCTATGACTTCTGAAAAAATTACCTCCAAAAGGCATATTATAAGATGCAATCTTTCTTTATTTTATTTTATACAAGAAGGAGCGCATTGGCTCAAACCTTATTATGATCTCTACTCAAATTCCACTCTTCCCGTTCCACAATCTAAGCACAAGTGAAAATGATATTTGTCCTCTTATATTCTGCTTGATTATCATTTGACAATTAAAATGAGAAAGCATTAACAAAGTAATAGCTTCTTATTCACTACATCATTCGGTGGCAAAAAAAAAAAAAAAAAAGCAGTAGTTAGTGTCACATCTCAAATATTAAAAATTTAGAGTACAACAATATTATATACTCATAAGAGGAATCTTATTAGCATGTAAAGTTACAAATATTGAATTAAGCAAAAATCAAATCCTTAAAAATTTCTCACGTAAAACTTCACAAAACCTCAAATTTCCAAAATATAAAAGATATACGAGTATACAACCTCTTCAAAGATACATGTTCCACTAATTAACGATCTTTCAAAAATTAAAATAAAATACCCAGATCCAAAGGCTATATAGAAGACAAATGACATGCATATACTAATACATAATATGTAAATAATTAAAATATTAAAAAATATCATTTGGAATTAATTAACTCAAATGATAATTGATACGGGTGGGATAAAATATTGGTTGAGATCTTATATTCGAACCGAAATATCCAAATAATAAAATTATAAAGGGAGATATAAGGGTGAGATATAGACTTAAAACTATAATCTTAATGAGATAAAAGTAAATTCTGGTGGGAATGACAATTTAATAAATCCATATATAGTAATAAAGATTAAATATTAATCGGCTGTTAATTTAATTGATTTCAAGATTAAGAATTTGAATTCAAATAGCTTAAAAAAATTTTAAAATAGAAATAAAAAGTAACTGGATGGATGTATCTAAATACAAGGACGTCAATTATCAAGCTAAAGTGATCTTATTAATCAATTCTGGATTGAAGGTTTTACTGCTCTTGACTCATTAGCAAAGCCAAAACAGACAAAAGTATATAAGAATGACATCCAAATGAATTAAAGTTCCGTGTGGAGGGAATCCTAAACTCTAAGAAAAAGCCAAAAAGAACAAGTTTGATATTTGAAACAAGGAAGAGGAAAGTGAAGAAACAAATGGAAGCAAATGTCAGTTATTATGGGCGACCGAATAAACACAACTGAGAAGGATCGGAGGCTGAGGATTTTGTTATTTGACAGCGACACATCATGTTGTTCCGGAGACACTTGGATGGCTACTGAGCCATGCGCATGCCACTGGCTAACAACCCTTAAACCCCAATCCTAACCCCACATTCACCGACATCACCGGTCCTTCACTGACTCCTCGCACTGTTGGTCTGCTTCTTCTTGACCCCACCCTCTTTACCTTCCTTTGGTTCATATCGTTGATAAGGTTCGAGTGAGTTCACTGTTGAGAGCAGACTTGTTGTGGTTTCATAGGTCTTGTGTTTGTCGTTTTGCACATTTATCATGTATCAATATTTGTTAGAGCATGAGGTTAGGAAAAATTAAGAAATTGAGTAAAATTTTCAAGGTTTTTTTTTTCTTTTTAAAGATTTTATTAATTTTCATTACTTATTAATTAGTGTGTAAAACGGCTACATAAAAATTTTAAAAATATAATAAAATTTGATGATTGATTGCGTTTACGAAATCAATTTATTAAACATTAATTTTTTATAAAAAAATTTTTATAGCAAGATTTTATGAAAATAATATGAAATTTATTATATAATTGAAGAAAAATTTAACATAAATAATTATATCTTGAATTATTCGATTTTTCATAATCAAAATCTATTTATAATAAAGTAAATATGTTTTTATATATACATGATCATGCAAATAAATATTTATTTATAAAGATATAAGTGATCAAAAATATATTTGTTTAAACAAACATAATTTTTAATATGTAATTATATTTTTTAAAACTACATATCTTTTAAGGTCATGTATAATTCGCGTGATATATTATTATTGAAAATATTTTAACAATATTTCCATGCTTTTTCGAGTCTATGATTCGTGTGAGCTTCAGATTTCGTAGTTGGCTCGCACGAAGTGGGGTTACCCGGTTAGGTATGTGTTAAATATTGACATTTGTTTGATTTGAAAGGAATAAACAAAGGAGATTTATAAAAAATAAAAAAGAGCATGAGCCTTGAAGGTGCATCATAGGAGTTTTAGTTTATTTTTATACAATGGTAATTGGGAGTACAATCTCTACGAAAAAGACGTCGAAATGATTTGCAGTTCAGTTTCCTCTAAAAATGGGTACTTGATTGTTTAAATGTATTTATCAAATTTTATAATTAGTTTATGCAATTTTATAATTTATTAATACTAAACTTTTAATTTTAGTAATTAAAATTAAACTTTTAACGATTTCAAATATAAAAATGGATTTAAAATTCAAATTTAGAAATGAAACAGTATTGATAATTTCGATTGAGTAATAATCTTATTGAATTGGCAAATCATGATTAAAATTTTATGTACGGATATTTAGAAAACGAATTATTAGATCATTAAATTAGGATTGACTTAAGATAAAATGATCATTGACCACTAAATTAAATATGATGAAATTAGTTATCGTTAATGTTATCATTTATGTTTAGAAAGAATGTTTGTTTGCCATATGGTTAAAAGGTTAGATACTTTTGAGTGCTTAAGAGTTGAGTCCTGTCAAGGATCAGGCAAACGGCCAAAATTCTAAACCATAAACAATATTTAAATAAATTTTTTATTAAAAATATAATTTTAATAATTTAAATTTAAATTTAAATATTATCAAATATAAAAAAAATTTTCATTGGATAGCGTGGCGGTATATAAAAAGAGTTCGCGTTATCCGAACGGTCCTGGTGGATATTAATTTGTTACCCCTTTTGATGATTAAATTTTTAAACGATGCCAACTTATATCTATCACCATTGCACCAGGTTCACAAGACAGCGTTCACTTGACAATTGAAGAGGTAGTAGAGGAGGCATCCTCTGCTTTGAAATGGCAGCCCTTGATTCCTGCTGGGGCTAGAAACAGGAGGAAATCAGGCGGTTAAAATGTGAAAGAGACCAAAGGCTGTGTGCCCAGAAGAGGAACACTTTTGTTTGGTAATGAAGAAATGAGAACAGTAGAGCGAGAAATCCGGTGAGAAGATTAGGCAGGGGTACGGAGGAGGAATCTGATGAGGACATGACGCGTCCGAAATCAGAGGGGGGACCCAATAATTGCACCCCACGCTGCCCGACACATATGATTCTGTCTGTACCGTCCCACTTCCATCAATCCCCCTCAATCTCTGTCCTCTTCTTTCACGCTATATATCTACTCCTATGACTCCCTCTCCTTTTTTTTTTTTTTTTTTTGGGATTTTTATTTTTCTTCTTTGATTCAAATTCTTTTGGCCCCCAATGCTTTAGCCAGACACTGTTCGGAATTGGCAATGGTAGCTGACCCTTCAGCATGCTTGTCCGGCCCCCTCTATTATTAGGACAATGACAATGGCAATGGCACAGTTTGCACCCAAAGCAATGGAGTTTTTGGAGTTGAATTGGATATTCCAAATTGGAAAAGTCATTTTGAAAAAGACACTGTATTTATTAAGTTCTGAAGTGTAGTTTTCTTCGTCTGCTGGAATGTCCCCTCAAAGTTTGATTTTTCTAGCATAGGGGAGAAAATTGTTGTTACCTAAAAATAGAACCCTATATTTTATACTATGCACCCTTATTATTGCTTCAACAAATAATGCAAAGCTTGGTTATGGTTATCCAAAAAAGAAAAAGAAAATACATAGAATGATAGAAATTTCCTTACAATCTTAATAAATGCCTTGTAATTTGGATTATTTGAATGTTGTAGCTACCTTCACTATACTTACAGTACTTTAACAATTCAATTATGTATTTAGTACTGCTTCTGCCATCATCAGAATTGGAATTAGTATTCTTTGAACTTTGTCATCTTCCATTACTGATTGCTTCACATGTGGAACATCATTACAGAAACCAAAATACTTGCACCAAATAGGACCCTTATTTGACTGCTTATCCGTTTGATGATTAGCATTTCTTCTGTCATTGAACCTAAAAGGCCACAAGGTAAAAAAATCCAAAAAGAACTTAAAAGTTGACAACACCAAGCCGCATTCCAAGCTAATAGAGCCGGCCCTCAACAGAGCCCATTCTGTAGCTCACTGATCTAATTGTCGTGCCTAACAGAACACTGTCAAGCCTGCTCTCTCTCTCCTGCTCATATAACCTTCGGAACATGTTGCACTGTCCAACAGATTCTCTTCCTATCCTTATTCTCTCTCCCCATAAAACTCCCCTTCACTCTCCCACACAGCAAGCAAATCCGAAACTACCCACCAGAAAAAAATAAAAAGACAAACTTTCTAAGCCAACGCAACAATAACAAAAATAGAGACTTGAAGCTGTAACTTAAGCCACTTTCTTTTGTCTGAAAATGAGATCAGATTCCGGAGATCAAAACAGACGTTTAACCAAGGCCCTTAACCCAGGAGCTCCCCCACCAGAACAAGAACAGCTACCTTGTCCACGCTGTGACTCCACCAACACTAAGTTTTGCTACTACAACAACTATAACTTTTCTCAGCCTCGCCATTTCTGTAAGTCCTGTCGCCGTTACTGGACTCATGGTGGCACTCTCAGGGACATCCCTGTTGGCGGTGGCACCAGGAAAAATGCTAAGCGTTCACGCACCACCACCAGCACCCATGGCACCTCCATTTCTGCTACCAATTCTGCCACCACCACCACAAGTCATACTCATAATAGCTTCCCATTACCTGCCACCCCGGTTTTGTTGCCAATCTCAGCCAATCAGGGAACTTTTGGTATTGGTGGGGATTCGAAGGGCAATGGGGGTGGAAGCATTTGTGGAAGTTTTACTTCATTGTTGAATACTCAAGGGCCTGGTTTTCGAGCTCTTGGTGGATTTGGGGTCGGTATTGCTCCAGCACTTGAAGATGTTGGGTTTGGGCTTGGGAGAGGAATGTGGGCTTTTTCAGGAATGGCAGATGGAGCTGCTGCTGTTGGTGGTAATGGTGGGGCTGCTACAGGAATGGGAAACACATGGCAGTTTGAAGGTGGAGAAACTGGGTTTGTTGGCGGGGATTGCTTTTCTTGGCCTGATCTTGCTATTTCAACCCCAGGAAATGGGCTCAAGTGAATCTGCTCTTTTGAGCTCATTGTCTTTTTCATGTTGTTTTTTTTTTCTTAAATGGAAACTTTTTTTTTTAGTACAAGGTGAATTAGTGAGTGGGTGAGATTAAACTATTAGCTATATTAAGGTAGAGATAGGACTATGACCTTTTGTTTTTGTTCTTTTGGTGACTCAATGCCATGTGATTTGGTTTGTTTTGTCTACCATTTTTGTGTAGGGACGTGGCTCAAAATGATGAGTGTGTAGTTTTTGGTGTTGATATGCTAAAACTTTACGTGCTTTTTCCAACTACCAGCATTTTTCTCACAATTTTTATCGGAGCCAGCAAAAAATTTAGATAGCAGTGTGTTTAAGATGATGGCTAATGGCTTTTATTTATTTTTTATTGATTTTGTTTAACCAGATGGACTGCCAGTAATGTCCACTAAAAAATTTATCAAGTACAAATTACCAGCAGACATGCCCATTTTGAAGTTTGAAGAATTTGTGGGAAGAATGTGTAAGAATTGGCCGTAATCCTAGAAACAACTGAAGCACATTGCAATTACTTTCACTCCTATGGTAATTATAGAACTGTGAACTCAAATTTGATTTTGATTCCAAATACTACATATTTAGCTTCACCATTTATATTAACTCCGACCTATGATTTTTATTAGGCTTTCTACTTGACCTATTAACCACTCTGGGCCTACAAAATTTTTTCTGGAAGAGAAAGATCTCTGTTAGTTTCTCCAGATTGTAATGGCTTGATTGTTAGTTTTCACTTTTCAGCCTGTTCTATGGTTTTGTGGTTAGTCCTCAAACATCTTTCTAGTCTTTTTTTTTTTTTAATGTATATTTACTACTACTATTAACTAAATCACCTTCCCCATCCCCTCCCTGAAAAAAAAAAAGTGTTTGATGGCGAAGTCAACATACTGATGTGACGCTCTTGAATTTGGATGAATTTAAGTGATCTGGCTCCCTTTCAGTTTTCATGCCACATCCTTCTTTGAAAATTGACGAGCATCCAAAACGATGGCTTTCAACCTGGAATGCTACTGTTGTTTTGGCTTACAAGCAGTTACTAATCTCTACTTACTAGTAGATGTGCTATTTCTTTTGTTTTTATTTCGTGTCATCAAGAATCAATCTATTTTTATCATTCCTTTACCAAATTGAATTTCAGAATTGGAAGAGCGGGCCATCAAAAGGTAACGTTTTCGGAAGCTGCATTTGACAGAAATTTAGAATGGAAGTTCTCTGTTTTCTATATCTAAAAGTAGGAGCTAGCTGCTGATATTTACTGAGGATTCTCTTTAAATTTAAGCAGCGGAAAGAACCTGGTGGATGTCCAGAATTGGCTATGTATTGTTCCTCCAATCATCTAAGTAGAATAAATATACATTAATTGGAATTGCTAGAAATTTTCTTTATTTCTTGAACATGAAAATGTTAAACTAAATGTAGATAGACATTTCGACAGAAGCACACAATTGGCTGCAAGAATTTAATTTTATGGTGGTTAAAAGTCAGTAAAAAATCTAGATTTCATGTTGTAAATGCAACCCCAAAAATTGCAAATTTTCGTCTGTAGTTATTACACTTCCTCTCAATGGACCTTTTGCTTTTGCACTCACGAGTTACAGCTTTACTGCTTTTAATGTTCCAACTTAAAAGTTCTGTCGGTATGAATTTACTGGTCTAGACTCTGGAGTATACTTTGTGATCTGATGCAGAAGGCTAAAACTCGTTGGAGCTAGTGAACTATGGAAGGGAATGCAACCGACCGATTTGATGCTACCAAGGGGGCTGAAGCCAACATTAAACCATACAATGCCCCGTGTAATAGCAGCTGGAAATGAGGTACTCCCTGTTGGTTTAGCAGCCAAAATGCTTCCAGCTATGAACAACCTTTAAAAGCTGCCTTGGCAGCTGCCAACCTTAAACATTCCTGTTACCTCAACAGTATTAGGAACATCTTTTCGTCTTTCAATAACACAATTTGGCCTGAGAGTGAAGTTCCTGTAAGAATATAAATACCTACTTTACTTAATGTACATCCTTCCCTAGTCGGAAGTATACTTTGGATCCTTCTTAAGGCGCCTGATGACTTTTCAAACATGAACTTTTAAAAAGTTGCAAAGAATTAGAAATAAAAATCGTCACCTAGATGTGGTCATATGTTCCCAACATAATTGGGTAGGTGTCCCAACTCTTACACATATGGTAGTGATATGATTTTAGTAGTCAATCATACATCTGATCATATATATAAAGTATCATATATATAAAGCATATATATCTCTTAATTTATGAACTTAACTCATCCATGACATTTAATATTTACACACATATCAGTTAAGTCATAAGAGTATGAATGTTGTTGAAGTCAGCTACAACCACCCTCGGAAAACCTTTGTTTTAAGTAAATTGCTAGTTGATCATTAGCACTATCATCCCATCCCCATGTCCAACTACAGAATTAATGTTCGTTGGACTACAATTAAAAATGCTTCTACTGGTTGAGAACTAAAACTGATAAGCTATTTTACCTGTTATAGAGCAAATGCACCTATTCTTCACCTCCTTTAGAAACTTGGGAGAAAACTCAAATATCATGATTCAATGATGTATTCCACCCCCTGCACACCAGCCTGAAGCCAGCAGAACATAGTCCAGTGTGCAAGAGATGGAATATAACATAAATCCATGTCAAACCACCAAAGTCTTTGTCAATTTTGTGGCAAGGGATGCCAATTTATAGTGGTGCAAAATGGAGTTGACACAAAGGTCGTTCATGCATCAAAAGTGAAAATACCGTATCAGCCTCAGGATTCAGAAAATCCCGCTTCTTGGTGGAACTTGGAAAATGCTTTGTGAGGTGGAAATCACCAACAACTAGCCCCCTTGCCTGACATCATCCATTGAAGGTGGGATGATCAAAATCTTTTTGAATCTTTGCTCCATTTTATTCATGCGTTTATTGAGTGCAAAAAACTTGAGTATCAAAGGCATCTTAAATTCTTAATGGAGGGATTGTTTATCGCTGCAGCCAATAATTAATTGTTTAATGATCTTTCCACTTTGTTTAGAAAAGGCAATCTTACTTTTCATTTTTCAACCTCCATGCAAGGTATAAGAACTTTTTTAATATTTTAACCAATAACTTACTAATATTGTTGAGAATTCTAAACTCAACTTCCTCGAGGAATAGTGCAAATGGAGCTCCCATCTATGCTCTCCCTCCTCCATTCTAAATCTTGCATTGCCACATCAAATGGAAAATTCATTTTCCCGCAGGAATTGTGCAATTTTATATGAATTATATAATTAACCATATCTATACACTATATATTACAAGAAATATTTAGTTGTGTATGTCTATTGGGGTTTAATTGCCACATCAAATGGAAAAATATACAATTTTATATGAATTATATAGATTACTGATATATTCTAAGTTATATTTTTATTAGGATTTTTCTTTCTTTTGAATAATAAAAAGAAAAGAATATTTTAATATGAAACTTAATTAAAATGTTTATTCATTTTTTAAGAGGTAAATTCTTACAAAATTGAGATTCAATTTTAATACTTGTAAATTTTTTTTCTTTAATTTCACATAGACCTTAACTTCTTTTATAAAAAAAATTGATATGAAAAACTTTTTTTGGCCAATCACAAACTATATTACTTATTAGCTGGATAAAAAAAAAATTATATTACAAAAAATTTGACCTTAAGTAAAAAAATAAAAAAAATTAAGAGAGATAATCCACATGTGGGATTCAAGTTTTTTTTTTTTTTTGTTTTATCATCTTTATTCATAGTAATTTTTTATAAAATTTATCTAATTAAAAAAAATGAAAGGTAAAAAAATAGAATGACACGTGCATCCTTTAATTGACTTGCTTTTCTTATAAAATTTATCTAATAAAAATTTAAAATAAAATATCAAAAAAATGAAAAAAAAAGAAAGAAAGAAAAGAAAAGGCGAAAAAGGAGCTCATAGAGGGTGCTACATTGACACCTTATATTAAGTTTAAAATATTAATTTTTTAAATTAAGGTAAAATTTTTTTATTAATATAATACATATATATGTATAAAATTAAATAAATAATAAAATATATACTTTTATATATCTCAAAATGGATTGGGACAAAACATCCTAAAAATGTTTCCTACTCAATCTCGTTTCTTTAAAAAAAACTCAACTCATCTAAACTCAATTTCAATTTAAGAAATCCCTCTTTATCAGATCGGGATGAATCAAAATCTATTGGATACATATTGATTTTATATCTCTATCAATTGGCATATTTCGTTACAAAATTTATTTAATAAAATAATACAAAAAAATGAAAGAAAAAAGGCAAATGGGTTGCCACGTGGATACCTCTATTGAGTTTTTTTACAAATTACTTTAATTAAAAGGATATTTGAAAAACAAAAAAAGGAAAAGGAAAAAACAAAAAAGAGAAAAAAAGGAAAGAAAAGGAAAACAAAGTTCATTAGAAGTACTACGTGGGCATCTAAATTGACTGGGGACTCATTGGATATGAATTGTTTTGTTATTTTTATCTATCGACTCCTTTTATTACAAAATTTATCTAATTAAAAAAATAAAAAAATATGAAAGGAAAAAAACAAATTGGAATATTATATGGACACTAACCTTGGTTTTTCATCAAACTTTATCTAAATTAAAAAAATTAAAAAACAAAAAGTTGAAAAAAGCAAAAAAGTGAAAAAAAAAAAGCAAAAAAAGAAAGAAATATAAGGTCACACATTAAGGTCTTGAATAAGAGTCAAAAGAAATGTTAAAATTAGTAAAATTTATATAATGGATGGATGGATGTATTAAATCTTAATCATGTATGAGTATCATATTTTTATTAAATTAAGACATTAAATAATTAATTTATGGGTAAATTACATAAAATCATCTTATGGTTTGAGGCGAATTTAAAGTGACTTTTGATGTTTAAAATGTGACATTTAATTATCATATGATTTGTTTTATTACTTATTTGCCCAAAACCATGACTTTTTTTGTTATTTTCAATTTTTTTTTCCTTTTTCTTTTCCAACAATATACTCTTTTTTCTCTTACTTTCTCTCTCTAACATTCATACTCTCTCACTTCTCTTTAATTTTTCAACTAAAACCCAAAAAACTTAAGAAGCAAAAAAACTAGCCACCATGTTCTTCAAAATTCCTAGATTTTGATAATGCTCAGACAGATTTTGGGTTCTTAGTTTTGAATTTGACATGAAAAAAA